CACTTTTTTTTTTTTTTTTTTTTTTTTAGGGCTATCTAGTACCCTAGACAGCTTTGCTCAGAGTCAGTCCCAGATAATAATATCACTAGTTCTCTCTTCCTATACAGTCCACGAGACTTACAGATTTACTGAGATTCCATTTGGCTGGAAGGTCATTATGCAGTGTTTCCTGTAGTCTCCTGTAGTTCCCATATAGGACACATTCCAGGCAACAGATAAAAACATCTGTACCACCGTTTGTTTTTAAATTCCTTGACACTGCTGTAAAAAAAAAGGAATGGGAAATCTGCGAGAAGCCTCAAGAATTCAGTATTAACCTAGAGAAAAGAAATTTAGTTCTGGAAGCACCAAATCAATAAAAGAAGCTTCCCAGGTGGAGCACAGAGCGGGGAAGCACAGAGCTCTGAAGCCCAATAGGTAATGAAGGAACATTGCATTTTGATCAGGGCAGACCAAATAAACCATACTTACTGCTTTTCAAGACAGAGAGTTCCGCAGACTTTACTCCATTCTGCTGGTATGCAGAGAATGTTAGTAGAAAGACACCCAAAGTGTCTCATCCTCAAAATCTGCAAGACGCTTTCAATCAGATCTGGATACTGAAGCCATCTCTGCTTGAATGTTAAAAAGTGGCAAGAGGGAATTTTCCTATCCATTCCTGGCCATTTCATATTCAAGCTTATCTCATAGCTAACAATTTCTTTTCCATTCTTTACTACCTCCTAAACTTGTTATATTGCTTCAATTCATATTTTCACTCTTTTTACACCTTCTGATTTGTTAGTTTCTAGACCTGCAAATCCCCTTCTCCAGTCACCATCTTCTCAGAAATCACTTTTCCTTCAAACATTTCTCACCCTTCCTCCTACAAGCAGCTGTGCTGTATGTCATCATCTAGGCATGATTTAGACTGGAGGCTCTATAGAGCAAAGAACAGGTCTTACTTATGTTTGTGAATCCTTGTCTAACTTTATGCTGCTGTATAAATGTTTAATAGGTACTAATGCATTTGCTGGAACAAGCTGCGTGCTAATACTCAGTGAGACTGTTTGGATACAATCCTTGCTGACTGTCAGAAGTTTCTAGAATTAAAAAAAAATGTAGTTTGGTGACACTGCAGTTTCAAAGCTAACGGATGCAACAGCTGAAGTGGTCTAATGAAACATCATGGCACTGGAAATGGCCCTATCTACTCTTGCCATGTTTGAACCAGGATAGAGTTTGGGAGCTCAGCACTATGGGTGTGGGGCTGCGCTCAGCTACAACCACTGTGCCTTATCTCCTTTATGTTATCTTCCTCCAGACCCCCATGTTAACAAAATTTTAAACAAATATTTCAAATCTCAGCTTTCTCTTTAATGTCGGCTGAAGAGTCTAGAACGGTCGTGTCCATTTTTCACACCACTCTTGGCATGATTTTTCTCTGGGTTTGAGTGTATCATGTCCTGTGTAGAATTAATTGTGAAATAGAAACCCCAGTGGCAGATGGGATGCATAGTTTTTATTTCAGGGAACAAACAGGAGCTGAGCGATTCATCACTGACACCACACAAACAGTGAATGCTCAAGCAAACAGGGAATGTATGATGTCTTGGCCTCAGGGCTAATGAATAAAATATGGTGATGTTAATGAAGAAAATCCAACAGGGCAGCAGGAATGTCAGGCCTTCATGTCTTCTAGCCTCAGGTTAATGCTCAGGGAGACAAACAAACCACATCAGAAATTTCCACAACCTGTACAAACAGAAATCTTTGGGGTTTGTTCTCTCTATATCAGATTGCTCCTAATGGCGAAGCTGGTGATGACAAGTCTTATCTCATAATCTCAACAATTTGTGCACCGTTGACATGAAATCCAGGGATATAAAGAATCACTGTTGAGGCATGTTCATAGGGGCTCTGAATCAAGGAGTACTGGATGGTGCCCATGCAGCCATTTACCTCCAGCACTGCATCCTAGGGTCAGGATCTCTTTCCTATTAATTTTAATACAGTTTCACTAACAAAACTCTGGATATTTTATCCTTGAAAGAGATCTGACTAAGTGATGAATTGAGGTTTTCACAATTGTCAGTGTGCATTAGGAAAGAAAAGGAGCTATATCTGATGGAATCAAGTCTAAAATTAAGCAAAAGACAACTCTATTAGGAAAATTCCTGTAACAGTGGAATCTATTGGACTTTATACAGTTTCTTCAGTGGCATGAGAAATACTCCACCACTTCAGTCATTTAAACGTAGATTGGACCAAGCAGTACAAAATATGTTGTAGGGAACACAGCTATATCAGCATGGCAGTAAAACAGATGAGCTAATAACTCTCTTTCCTCTCCTTTTCAGGATCGTGCATGACAAGATTTCAGTACTAGTCAAAATTTATTTACCTGCAACCAACACAATTTTCAGAGTTCATATTTGGTGTAAATTAATACCTCTCTAGGAGGAAAGATGTGCACCATTTATCAAGTGAGAAGTATTACAGTTCCAAAGGAGGGGCAGGGAGGAGCAAGGCTACTTAGTGCAAATGAGTTAGGGACAAAGACTTTCAGAAAGATCAGAACAGAAACACTTTAGAAAATCTGCCCCCATATGACTGGAAGCTGAACCCTTTACAGAAATTCCCACTCACTTGTAAGTGCTCAGCTCTTGGAAAAAAAAAAACAACAAAACCTGGCCACAGCTCTCTATGTATTGTAACTGGCGTCAGGAACATTTCCTGTGAAGATATGATAATTTTCATAACTTTTCAGCTCATCAAATATCAGACCTCACATGTGAGAAAATTTTCACATGAAAGCTGTGCTCCACAAGGCCAAACTACTTAGCAGAATCAAATTTAAATGGAGAGGGGACCTTTAAACAGGCTAAGTTAAAACCACACTCTTTTTCCACTTGATCAGAGACCAGCAAAAAAAAAAAAAAACAAACCACTTTTAAGCAGAAAAATGTAAACCTCTTGGTGAAGTCCTCATTGTTTGCGCAAAATTATTTTCAAATTAAAATAACTGTTGTATCACCAGCTTGACAAGTGGTACAATGCCTTTGAGCTTAACGCAAACTAATTTGAAGCAAAGAGGAGAAGATAGAGATCTGTTCATTGTTTTATTTTGCCTCTAAAGAACATAGATTCAAGTACTTAAATAAATAATCAAAAAGAATAGTTAACTGAGCAACTAATCTTACATGATCAATTCAGAGATCACAGCTTGTAGGAACTCCAAACCTGTTGCTGAGAGTATGCCCCAAACACATGCCTTGGTTTTGTCAAGGAATCCAGACCTAATTCACAAAAATATATTTCTGTAGAAACCATAAAACTTCCTTCATAGCCATTTTTCTTTGTATCTAGTTCCTTTAAAATGTAACAAGCTCTGACTCAGATATAATTAGAATAATTTGCATTCATTCTAGTACTGAACAGATTTATGATACCTTGTATATTCACAGAAGAGTGACATCTTCAAAAGGTTTCAAGGATGAACTGCTAAGCCTCGGGGACTAAAAAGCCCTTTAAGATTGGGGTCAAGCTAGGCATTTAGATTCAAAAATAATAAATAAATCCATGTGGAGACAAAGGCCTATTGCATACCACTCTTCCAGGAAAACCCATGGGTGGCTGAGAATTACTTGGGAAAACTTTGTGTAAATTAATTCTGAATCATTCTCAGTTCTTTCTTCCACACTGAAAAGAGGGGTCTATGGAGGGAGAAAAGCATTGGTGAGTTCACACAGGGTCAGGGAATATCTGGCTTTCTAAATGCAGAGCTAGAAAATGTTCATGGTTCTTGGGACACTGAAAGAGAGAACCAGCACCTTCCCTACCCATGGCTCATTGAGAACCTGGGGCACCATCAGCTCCAGCTACAAGGGGGTGGTGGTACATTTAGAAGGTACGGTGGGGAGTACAAATTGCAGCAATCAAAGCTTATGTGGTGTGATAATTCAAAGGAACCACTTCCCACCCTCTGCTTAAAAGGAAGAAAAAAACAAACAAAAAAATGAATCCCACTGTTCCTTATCATACGCTGCTTTCTCTGCTACCAGGCAGACACTGTCAAGCTGACATGTAGAGTTCACTAGAAATTAGAATTTTACACGGGAATTTTGCATTATTTTATAGATATATAAATTAATCACTAGGCTACATAGTTCTTTGCATTAGTTCAGAAAAAATATAGAAATATCATGCTATATTATGGGCTTCTACACTAACATTTATAGAAAAACACTATTCTTTATTCTTAACTCTGCAATCATATGTTAACAATTATCACCACAAAAGCTATTTCAGTTCTTCCAAGTTATACAGCAAACTAGACAGCAAGGACAGCTTTGAACCTTTGAACATCAGGTTCTTATTTGCTATGTTACCCTATTTTTAGGTCAAAATCTTACACATCTGCTGAAAGCACTTCCTCTATATCAAACAATTATCCTGGTAGAACTGCTTCAGGTACCAAGCTGCTGAGGAGGAGCAGTACAACCTTGATTCAGGGCTTAATTAGAAAACAAGACCTTACAGAGGGCTAGGAAGACTCATAGACTCAGCAAGGGAAGGACACAGTGCTTCTACTATGCCATGTTATTTGCCTAGGAGTGACAACTGAGTTAGGGTATAACCTTGGGGAATCGTATTAATTAACAGACACTGACCATGATTTTGAAGTCAGTATAGACCTGCTATTAAATAGCTCTGTTCTTGTTCTGGAGCCTCTGAAACCAAGTGTTTATCCATTACCAGGCAGCCCCATCTTGAACATCACTTGCAACAGTCAGTACAAGCAGGATGGCCACTGTTGTACACATTAAACTGAATTCTCAAGCTTAGTTCTGATTCAGTGCAACTTTCTGGGGAAGACCTTTGTATTGTGTTTAAAATACTGCATTCAAAAATCAAGGAAGTAGTCTCCTGCCAATAGCTTTGAAACTCACTTTTCTGAAAGTTTCCACACTGCATTTGAGATGAATACTGGGGAGAGTAACAGTGCGCAAAGTACATACCTTTGGCAGAGCTTGGAGAAAGAGAAGCCACAGCTCTACAGGTATGTTCTGGACTCCTCCTGGAAAATAAAAAATCAGGAAGTGTTATAGAATACAATAATCTAACGCAGCTGTTAGAAAACTGAACTATAAAATGTTCTCTCAGTCTAAAATAAAAGAAACCACCACCCTGGGGTCTGCTAGAAAATTTGACAATTATTTCTAGCCCACTACTTCAACTAGCATTGTTATCTTTTAAAGCTAAGAGTCACTATTTGTCTATGAATCAGATTCTATGAGGCAAAAGTCTCCATGTCTGTATGAAACCCAAGGCAACATCAGCTGTGTTTATTATTCTGTAAAGAGAAACAGTGCCAAACTTCCTGCAACACCCACTTTAGCTGCTGAAATCCAGAGAACTGAATGTGCTGCTGTTAGCATTTGGAGACAGGAATATGTTTGGATCTAATACATCAGACACAGGCTCACTTGATGACAAGAAAGTACTAGATTCCATAACAGGTTAAAATAGAGCCAAATACGAAAACACTGTATGCAACTCATACAGAGTAACTTCTGCTCATCATCTTTGAATTTTTTCAAGTGTTCTAAACATTCTAAAAATACCATGGAAGTTGGTAAATAGTTAAATTCTCCTAGCTTGTCACATAAATGATAGCTTGATTGATGTATACAAATGTTCTAACACTACTCTTACTATGTTGTGTTCAATACAAAGTTACATGAGTCAGGACTAGGACAAAAGTTCTCATGTACAGAGAAGTTTGCTTTACAACTTTGGCTTTCACTATTTAGTCATGTGTCTTCCTACTTGCCAAGGACACAGCCTGTGGATACCTATATATAGGGGTACAGTGGGTGTGCCACAGAGCCAGCTCCTGCCTGCGGACATTATGCTGCTGCTGCTTCTCCATTTTGCAGTCTCTCAGGGAAATCCCTCCTCCTGCCTGAAAAGGTTGGTCTTTGCCTATCTCTTCTTCCAGGTCTCCCTAAGAATCAACTGGGAGCAGAGCTGCACAGAAAGACAGCTCTGCAAAAGCTATTTAGAGTATTTCAGTGAGACCTAAGCCCTCTAGAAGATGCGGTTTCAGGATCTCTGAAGGTTAAATCTAGGTTTTTCTCACCTCATTAAGGCCATACAATGGGAACTCACCTGCCAATCTCCCCACCTGCAAGAGGCACTTCTCTACATGTTTTCAAGAGCAGGCAATAGCAGCTGGGAAATTAATTCTCTGCTGCTACCACCAAGGACAAGTGATTAGAAACACCAGCAAGTGGCAGAATTCAACTCATACTCTCCCAGCCCAGTGTGAAGGACACAAGCAGGGACCATGCTCCAAGCTGTCTTTCACCCCATGCTACAAAGCTTCAGGACAGGTAGAGCTCACAGTTTTGCAACATCATTGTATTTGGATCCTGATAAGGGAACATTTACACGTTCTGTATACTCTCAGTGAAAAGCTGTCTATTCTCAAACAGAAGAAGGTGCTTCTTTCTTTGCTTCTCAAATGGTAGATCAGCAGGTACCTCTGGATGAGGAAACCAGCTTCTCCCCACTGGGGAGGGCACTATAGGATGAGAAGTATTCATTCAGCTGGATACATCATGTCCAAACTTCCCTTTCTCACCCTGGAAGTTTGATGTGTGAGTCAGGACAGCTGTAGTCCTGAAGCAGGAGGGAAAAATCCAACACCTCTCCAACACACCTTCTGTGACCGGCAAGGGCTCCTGCCTACACTGGCAGGTAACTCCTCACATCAAATATTAGTCCATCGTTCTATGCAGTAGAAGCCCTTCTGGGGAGCTGCTCTACTCTACATGCACAGCACACCAGGGCTTTTCTATCCTATTGTTCCTTTCTCAGTCACAAGATTTACGCATGTGTTGATATGTTCCTGTGGGTACTTCAGTCAGTGAGGAATTTTTCCCTTCCCACAATGTTGCTCCAGGGAGTAAGTAAAATTGCCATCAACTTTCCTCCCTCTCAGAAAGCAAGCCGCCTTACCAGCTACTTGAACCCAGAAGTAAGGACTAGGGCTCTAGAATACCTCATCCCTCTTCAGCCCATCTCCTCAGCTTTTGAGCCTCACTGACCTCAAGAGTCAACAGATCAAGCCCACCACACTGGCTAGTGCAACCCGTAAACATGCCATAACACTGTTCGGTATACCAATCGGATATCATGTGGTACCATTGACACCCTAAAGCCCCTTTCACTAGCTGAGACATTTTGCCTGCGTGCCTAACCCAGCTGCCTGTCTTCCTGTGGCATTCAGCTCTTAATTGCTCACTCACGGTCTGTAAAGCAGGAAGAGTAACACTGTTCTACCCGATTTGTGTGCTATGATGTGCTGACGTACCTATAGACGAACTCTAATAAAGAAAAAAGAGAGGCACACTAGCAATGGCACAGCTGTTATCTTCCCTTTCTATCCTATACTTACTCCGGATCAAATCCCCTATCCAATGCATATCTTATGCTCTAATGCTGGTGCTGTTATGGAAAACACAGAGGTTAACACTTTTTCTTCCGCTGTATTCATTTATGAGGGGCAAATGCTGACTACAGCTTTCCTGTAATGTGTCAAACTTGGATTGTTTACCTGCACAAAAACTTTTGGACTCAAATCATGCCCTACCCTTAACCACACTGCACAAATAAATGCCTCTGAAAACAGAAACTAAACAAAACAAAGTCAGACCTCTTTCCAAAAAAAGTCCTGGATGTTTTTTGCTAGAGTCAAAGGCTGAGAACAGTAAGTGAGAGACATATACCCTGATTCCAGCAACGTTGCTCAAGGAAAATCATGGACTTTCCATACACCACAAGACAGCAAAATGCCTAAGTATACTGGAGCAAACACTATTATGAATAGCAGTAATAGTATATGTTGCCATTAGGTAAGTAACTCTGACATGAACCATTCTTATCTGATGTTACTTCAGAGTACCAAAGGACTGTTGTTTCCATTGATTTGCAATGGAAGAGAAATTCTTTGAGAGTCCAATTAAGTGCAATCACTAACACATGCTTCCTATGGATATCCCTGAGGATCAGGCACACATTGCAACTACATTCCTAACAGAATGAAATTCTGCTTTTAAACTGCTGATTTACAGCTTGAAGAAACAGTATCCAGGATGCCAGCCGCTCCCTGCAAAATGGTCTGGTGAGGGCGAAAAATGCACAGATTTCCTTTCTGGCAAGCACAATGGTCTAACTTTTGGTTAGGTGGCAGCCATGCAGCTCCCAAACAGCTTGAGCAAGATGAGAGTAGAGTATCTGAATTATTAACTTTCAAATTAAGTAGTATGCAAAATGTACAGAATATATGTTCTGACTGAGGCACTATTTTAGGGCTCAAGTAAATTTTCTAAATTACTTACAAGGGTGAAATGTTTGGATATCCAGGTAGGAGTAGCAAAAGTACATATCCTACATACCATCAATAAAGGTTCTGTGATACTGGAAGTTGCTGGAGGTAGAAGGAGATATTCTGGGCAACCTTCCCTGCATCTCATGCAGAAATCTCATTCATAACTATTTCACTCCATTGCCTCCTCCCAAACCACCCTTTGCAGTGCCTCTTAACTGCTGCTCACCATAAGCTTTTTACTGTTCACTCATGCTCTGTTCAACTTCCCAGCTGATACTTCTGCCACACCTGTTAACCATTTAAGTAGAAACAAGTTAGAAGACCTGGCAGAGAGAACATATCCGACAAATCTGGACAGTCTCCTGTATGCAAAACCCAGGAGGATGCTTAAACAGAGATGTTTTGTACCCTAATATGAGCTATTCTGTGACAAAGGGTAAGAACATTTCCCTGTTCTTCTTTGATTTTGGTGGAGTGAATATTGTCCTGAATTTACTGCATTGAGTGTCAACTGCTGAATTCCTGTCCCTCTCTAACGACATCGTATCTTCAGGTGGACGATGTGTCTTCCTGTCCCTTGCCCTTCCCTTCCCCAGAGCACATGGCTCAGAGATACAGAGGCAGGACTTCAGCAGTGCCCACTCTCACGGGGTGCTGAAGACAATGCGGGGATCAGCCAGGCTGCTGGGATGCAGAGATCAGTGCCAGGCTGTTCAAAACTTCACTCTTCATTGTAGCTGCATACCAGGTCTTTTGATTGAGAGGGACCATTCAACTGTAGCATTATTATTAAACAGCTCACTCCTGAATATCTCAGGCAAAGTGTTAACACAACATGGGAACACAGATTCTTCCAAAATAAGCTCCTGCCTTGTGAAACAGGTCCAGTGGGCTCCAGAGAACTTGGTACTATGTTGTACTATTTTGAGCACTGTGAAGGCATTTCAAACTTAAGGTTTTACATAGACTCTGGAATGACTGCACTTTTTAAACCCTTTCAGGGAAATGCTATGGTAAGATGTCTGGAATAAGCACTGAAACTTTCTTGAGCTGAACTCTGTAGCTCAAGCATGCTGACAAACAGGATCCATGTGTAAAAAAAAATAATAAAATAATAAAAATAATCAGTGCTCACACTGTACAGACGCACCTGTTTATTATAAAACAAAGAGCACATATATCCATCCTTCTGCCCACAAGAGTCTAAGTGTCAATTCTTGCCTGCAAAAATTAGCGTGGCACATCAAAGGATGGCTGCTGTGCCACTTGAAAGAATGTGAAGGCTGTAATTTTCCACACACCTCCTGTGAAGGAGAAACATGCCCAGTTCTGCAGTGTACATGATGCATCACAGAGTCAGCATCCACATCTGTAAAACCTGAGTGCAGGGGAGAAGGGAGGAAGGAGAGGGAACATAACAAAGTGTCACTGCCTCTGCCATTTTGGAGCACTTGTCCCTTTTCATCATGATTGAAAGTAGTCCCTGTGCAAGTTACTGAAGGTTTAACTCACAGTATACAATGAAATGAAATAATTTTCCCCAACTTAGTCACTGACTTTCCATGCCTTTTTAAACAAAAAGCCAGGAAGAGCATCAAGGAGTGCAGCCATGGCAGCAGCGTTGCTGTGAAAAGGTCTTAAAACAAACATGCTTTTGGAAAAAATGACTTAATGCAAAGAAA